CATTGGGTGCATTTGGGCCGGATGGAATTGTTGACATCGTTGCGGAAGCGTGACGTCAGATGGGCCCCCTGCGCTTGATATATAGAGATGATGATATGGTGACCCGCAACTGAAATTTTGGTGAGACGCTGCCCCTAACTTGTACAAGAATTAGTGCTCAGTGCACTCAGCTCAAGCTAAAGCTCTGCGATTATAAGCTTTTCGGAATCATCTAGTATTATAAGTTTAAGTTTTTATTAATAAGTTATAAGTTTTTCACCATATTCATTCTTCCACACAACCTATATCCCAACTTCTCTTGCTCACCGTCTTAGCACCTTTGAATTGTTTTGAATAAATAGCTACAGTCACATCGTCTTCTAGGAGAGGGCAGTATTCGAAATACCGTGATTTACGAGAAGTTTGAAGAATTGTTCAAGGGGAGCATATTTTTGAATGAAGAGCTATATGTAACGACATTTAGATTGTGCACAAAAGCACACAGTCTCTGTAGTCTGTATGTGAATATTAGGTTGGCTCTAAAGTTCTAGACATTTTCAGACTAGATTTGCTATTTCTCACTAGTGCATGTTCATCCGGCAGGGTTATCATTGGATAGAACGAAGCAAGCTCTACAAAATAACATTACTGCTTTTGCATCAAGTCTGACCCACGTGGAGTTCGAAGGCGAAACATAAAAAGTTGCAAATGACCAAAAGCCAATAAATTCGTACCTCCGGTTTTAAGATTCCTGCGGACACCAAACTTGCTCACGGACATACATTCCTCATAACATTCACATGCGCAGTTCCCCTAGCTATGAAATTTGTGCTCCCCTCAAAGTAATGCTGGTTCCTGCGCAAGTAATCCCTCCCATACTACTTGGCTTGAGAAGTACAACGGTAGATTTCTAGCCTTCTATGATTGTTTCTTCTCGAGTAATATTGAAATCAGTCTAAAGAACAAAGAAGATAAAACTAAATTTGATAATAGAGCTAACACTTGTAAAAGGCTGAATATCTATTGTTATTTCTTGAGCCAAGCAGTATGCAATCACTTATGCAGGAACGGCCCAGCATCACTTTGGCAGAAGCACAAAAATTTTCAATTTTTCGATGTCTGATTAAGGAAAAATTACAGCAGTTGCGCATATGGATGTTTATGAGAGATGTATTCTATGAGCAAGTTTGAGGTCCGTAGATTTTTTTTGAATGGAGATAAATTTTTCAGTTATTTGGAACTTTTTTTGTTTTCGCCTTCGAACTCCACGTGGATCCAACTTGGTGCAGAAGCCGTAATGCCATTTTGTAGAGCTTGCTTTGTTCTATCAAATCAAATGGTATCTCTATCAAATGTACATGCAGTAGGTCTTGAGAAATAGCAGATCTCATCTGAAAATATTCGAGAAATTTCGAGCCAATCTAATAGAACGACTGACTGGCTTAGCGAGGCGATCAGTGGAGCCAGTGTTGGTCCTGCGACTCACTCCCGAAAAATTCGAGGCTTAGCGGATTTTGCTGGGCCATTGGTACTGACACTATCTCCAAAAATATGGAGTGCATTCAACGTAGAAAATGTTTTCTGGAATGAAACTATAAACTCGACCATGAGTACCAATGTTAGTGGAGAGGTAAGTATCAGTCTCTCTGTTCTTTCTGTTGAACATTTTTTCTTTTGAAGGAAGGTATAGTAAAATACAAAGTATGGGATGCTATGCTCGAATCTCTCTCCTTTTCTACAAAAAACATCTCTTTCAGAAAATTTCGTTATGGAGGAATGCGTGTTCGGGTAAGACGACTCTTTTATATACTGCCTCTATATCAGCACTTATTAGATAAAAGGCGTAAAGTTCGTCGCTAGTACGAATTTAGAACTGGAAGTTCGATTATGGATAACAACTCTCAAGCTCAGCGGCAAAGTATTGTGGGCAATGCTGCCTAGGTTAACACGATTTTTGTCATCTCATAATATTCAGGATATTCTCTGATAATATAAGAGTTGATGTCGCCTTTATTTGGACAAACTTCACAATCGCTTCAAAAATCCGTATGGGTACTAATATCAGACTACTCTTTACTGGTAGCTTATATTACTTCAACTTGGTGGAGCCAATGCTCCGAAATATAATCAAGAAGAACATGGAGGAGCAGGTAACATAGGGGAATGAGCAGTGTGAGTCTTTGTATGTACTGAATGCAATTATTTAAGATCAAAAAATTTTTGGAAAGTGAGGTTAATCCCTATCTCCAGCAACTGAAAAAAATGGTGGCCGATGCCGGTCTTTCTTTTCTGTTCAAAGAAACAATCAAGTGGGCGCTGCACAATGATACTCTTCAAGTTATGTTGAATTCCAAGAGGTAAGCCAAAGATAGAATTTCAAAGAATGCTGGTAACTCTCAGCGCATATTTATTGGCAGGGAATGAACTCAAATCTGTGTTGGTTTCAAAAGGGATTGAATTGAGGCACACACATTTCAGATGCAATCTGACCCAATAGATTCAGGCAAAAACGTTAAAGTCTCGTACCTGCTGCGCAAGGAGTTCCGCTGTTTTCACATCGCCCGAGAGACCAGGAAGAGTAGAGAGCAGCGAGTCTTTCCAAAATTGTCCGATTGTTCGCAAAATGACACAAAGCCATAGCGATGCACACAAGCACTATGCGATTTTGCGTGCCAGGAGGGGACAGACAATTATTTAGATAGACTGCCTCTGCCTATCATTTTTT